TATAATTCCTTTTGAATTAGTCCTGCTATGTCTTAATTCACTCCTTACGCTATATTGGTGTGATTCACTATTTTGAGTATTTTGCAGATGAACTGCTTAACAAATCTTAAAGAAAACACTATGATGCTCTAGGAAAATGAGGCAAATAGACCTTCACAGACAAAGCTGTATGAAGTTTACCAGTTTCAGTTGTCTAGAATTCTTGATTTTTTAAAATTCTTTAACCAAATTATTTAAATTAGAAAACAGGGTTTTGTTGTTTTTTTTTTTTTTTGGTGGGTTTTGTTTGTTTGTTTGTTTGTTTGCTTGTTTGTTTGTTTTTGTTTTTAGTGGAGAATTCCAGAGGAAAATTCTTTGCAAATTTTACTTTTGACAGATTTTGTTTAAAAGGTGATTAAAGCAGTGGAGATATTCTGATTCTAAACTCAGGTTCTGAAGCTTTTATGCCAAGGTTACTCTGTACTAAACTAAACTTATTTTTAGGTTTGTACAGCTTTTCAAAACACTTGGGAGGACAGACTTGCAGTGGAATGGATGTTGTTTGGCTTTGGATTGTGTTGTAAAATCTTTTCTTATCCTGTAAAAGCTTCTCCTCCACAGAGAATAGCTTTCTATTCCTTTCAATTGACAAAAGCTTTTCAGTTGTGTTTGCTTCATAAAATCTTTTATATAATGTGAAATTCTGCATTCCATCTTTGTGAAATTATCTAAAAAAACAAGCATATTCAAGGAAATACGTGTGTTTTAACACAAAGAGCTACCTCTCATTCTGGAGCTATTCCATATCTTGCTTACTTTAGGGGTTTAGGGGAAGACGAACCTAATTCTTTGAGTACCAGAGTCTGCAGAAAATCAGAAGTGGGTCTAATTCTATAACACATTCAGATCATTGGTAAAGACATTCAGATCTTGGTAAAGGATGAAACAGGAGAAGTCTCTGACACATTTTCCCATCCTATATTTTGTCAGATTGCAAATCTCCTCCGATAGTCTTACTAGAGTTTATTCTTCTTTTGTTGACAGCCTCAAGGAAAAGAAGAAATTACTTACAGTTTAAGTAACATAAATGAATTTTCTGACTACATTTCCAC